TGGAGGACGGCAAGCATCAACAACTTCGAAGTCACGATTGTTTACCTTCGGCGATTATACCTGATGTACGTGCTACACATTAAGCACGGAGAGGTCACCGTCGATGCTTGAGATACCTGCTCGCTGTATACTGATAAGTAGACGCTTGGCTGAGCTGAACTTTTGTGTTGTTGTTCTGGTTTTAATACAAAACTTGCTTTTGGAACCTTGTTAGCATATTCGTAGGAATTTTAACTTTGATCTTTAAATTTGTTTTAGATGCTCAATGAGAAGATTGGAACTTTTATACTTTGTTATTGTTAATTTACCTGTGAAGGTTGTTTGTGTTATCGTTATTTTGTTGTAAAGGAAGTATAGCGATTTTTCGTTCCTTGTTGCGAGTAAATCGAGATTGGCACAATGGCACAGACTGCTGTTTCGAAGCAGGTGCGACGCGTACAGTTAATTATTTATTTCGCACAAAATACTTTTGAGAAAGCCGGTCTGACTAAACAGACTATAGAGCAATATGAGTCGCGTGCGCTCTTGTTGGAGCAATATTGGTCAACGTTTGTAACTGAGCATTATGCACTTATGGAGTATGAGGATCAATTAGCTGATCATGATTATTTTTGTCAGGACGGTTATGCATGGACAGAAACTGCAGATCTTGATGCTCGTTCGTTGTTGGCATCAAAAATTCGTGCACTTAATAATGCGAAGTCAATGCCTCCGGGTCATTCAGGCCCTTATATTGAGCCTACTCTAGTAACAACGTCCGTTTCAACCTTGCCTTCGCTTTCGCTTCCCATGTTCTCCAGTCGACAGGAGGACTGGGAGAGTTTCAAACAACGCTTCGAAGCCGTAATGCAGTCGCAAACAAACATGTCAGGAGTTACTTGGTTGCAGCATCTTTTGAATTCGGTGCAGGGTGCTGCTGCTAGTAGATTAAAAGGGCTCGCAGTTATTGAAACGAATTACTCTGTGGTTTGGGAGCGTTTACTGCGGCACTATGATAATCGTCGTTTACGCCTTGCGACTCATTTGCAAAATCTTATTCAGTTGCCCACGGTTTGAGCACGCTGAGTGGATGATCTTTCGGCTATTATTGATCGCGCCGAAGAAACCATGAAGTTATAAACCAGAAACCATACACTCGATCTTAATTGGCCTATAGAGCAGTGTAATCATTTTGTTGTTCACTGCATCGTGCTTAAACTTGACTCGGGCACGCGAGAGTCGTGGAATGTTTTACAGGAGGGCAAGGACGCATTCGAACAGTATAAGGAATTAATTACCTTTATGGAGCGTCCAGCCCGATCTGTGGACCAGTCCCGCTCTGATTCAAGAACTGAATCATTTTGTCGGGCCGAATCAAGCGGTAAATCGGGTGGTGCGATGAGGAATCAGTCTCGTGCTGTCGTGGCCAACGTGGCAAATGAGAATGCTAGAGAGGTTTGCGTATTTTGTTAGGGCATGCATTATGTATATTTGTGCGAAAAGTTTCGATCGTTGGAAACTTATGTGCTGTTCAAATTTTGTAAAAAGGAAAATTTATGTTTAAATTGCCTGTGGAGGGGACACCGTCTTGCTGATTGTTCCTCGAAGCGCTGTTGTAGTCATTGTCGGAAGCGTCATAATTCATTGTTGCATTTGCAGCCTGCTGGGGGCCCAGGGCCGGCTGCTTCGCCGACAGGAGCACATCAGGCTTAGACAGTTCATTCCGATTCTTCGAATGGTAGTGAGGAGTTTACTGCTAGTGGATTGACGCACGCTTTTGCTGCTTCAATTGATGGTCGAGTTCTACTTGCTACAGCAAATATTATTTTGAAAAATCCGAAAGGTGGATCACGTGTTATTCGTGCGCTTATAGATCCGCGTGCTAAACGGTCTTTTCTGTCAGAGAACGTAGCCTCTTGCTTGTTATTATCTCGGAATAGGGTTTTGGTATAGATTTCAGGCGTTGGATCAACGGTTTGTGCTACGGCGTCGCACGAGGTCACTGCTCTGATCGGCTCCAGCGTAGATAGAGAATTCGTGAGTTCGCATCCATTTTTGGTTCTTGGTAAGTTATCTCGAGTTATTCCTTGTAGAGTGACGGAGATTCCGGACAATCGGTATTTCAGTGGAATCCAGCTCGCTAACGAGCAATATAGTTCACCTGGTCGCGTTGATGCTATTCTTGGTGCTGAAATTAATGCCGATATATTGAGGGAGGACATACGATGTGGCCCGATCGGGGCACTGGTAGCTCAACTGACGGTGTTTGGTTGGATCCTCACTGGAGCTGTTGATATTCATTCGGAGAGTCATTCGACTGTGCACGCTCATCACATTCGTTTTGATGAGAGTTTAGATAAGTTAATCGTTAAATTTTGGGAGATCGAAGAGGTGCCCGATACTAAATTTTTGACAAGGGATGATGAATATTGTAATGAGTTCTTTCAGCGGACCACCAAACGCGATCAGTCGGGTCGATTCATAGTTCGACTTCCGTTTCGCTCCATTGCTTCGTTACGAGATTTGAAGGAGATAGCTTTAGCGTGTTTGCTTCGTTCGGAGAAACGTCAGCAAGGATCATCCGAATTACAAGAGGCTTATGATAGTTTCATGCGCGAGTACCAAGAGTTAGATCACATGAGGAGCGCATCGCAGTCGGAAAAGACCGCGGCTTTGTGTTATTTACCTCACCATACAGTTTATAAAATGATGGTTCAAAAAATTACGCGTAGTGTTCAATGCGTCGCAAAAGTGTTCTAACGGTTTATCGCTTAATAGTCTTCTACATTCCAGACCAAAATTGCAGGTGGTGATAGTGGCTTTGATTACTCGTTGGCGTTTTTTTAGGTTTGTTTTTACCGCATACATACTAAAAATGTTTTGCCAAATTCTCGTACATCCTGAGGATCGGAGATGGCAGAATATCCTTTAGCGTTCCATCAGGTCCGAATCCATACAAGAGTATCAATTGTCAACGGTGACTTATGGTACTGCTCCTGCTCCATTTTTAGCGATTCGTACCTTGTTGCAGTTGGCTGAGGACGGTAAATGAACGCATCCTGAGGCGGCTGCTGTTCTTCAGTCACAGGTGTATGTGGATGATATATTTGCGGGTGCTGATATTTTGGGGGAGGCAACTCTTCGGCGTGATCAGTTGGTTTTGTTGTTGGCTGGTGCTGGTATGCAGCTAGGTAAATGGGCGTCAAATACAGTTGAACTATTGGAAGGAATCGAGGGTTTGTCAGAGGAGGAGGTTTCTGTAGATATCGATGAGATTATTTCAGCTTTAGGATTGAAGTGGAGTCCAAATGAAGATTAATTTTAATTTTAATCGTTTTAAGATTAATCTTCCTATTCTTTCTGTTAAGATCACGAAAAGGCTTGTTTTATCGGAGACTACACGTTTATTCGATCCTCTTGGTTTCTTAGCTCCTATAATTGTCGTGCCAAAAATATTAATGCAGGATATGTGGATTGAAAAATTGGATTGGGATGTAGCTCTTCCAGCTGACTTAGAGAGCCGTTGGTTGGCATTTCGTGATTTATTGAATCAGTTGAGTGATACTAGGATTGTTGGTGCCGTGGGAGTCATGAAGACTGAACACTGGAGTCTCCATGGATTTTGCGATGCCTCTCAAAGGGCATACGCTGCCGCAGTTTGTTGTGCAACTTCTGATGGAAAATCTACTTTGTTGATGGCTAAGTCCAAGGTGGCTCCAGTTAAAACTCAGTCGCTTCCGCGGTTGGAGCTCCATGGGGCTGTTCTCCTTGCTCGTTTGACAGATTTTATTATTGGGCAGTTTAAAACGCAGCCGAAAAGTATTTCCTTTCGGAGCGTCTCCTAGGTTGTGTTAGACTGGTTGAAGAGTCATCCGTCGCGTTGGCCTGTTTTTGTTGCCAATCGTGTTAGTGAGGTATTAACTCGTTTTCCTCGTGTCACATGAAGTCACGTGAGGTCTGCCAATAATCCTACGGATATTGCTACTCGAGGAGTCACACCATTGCGCCTAGCTCTCAGTGAATGATGATGGCATGGCCCTGCGTGGCTGGGTGATGATGTTCCTTCATCTCTGTCAGCGGCATCCATAGAGGGTTCCCAGGCCGTGGCATCTCTTGTGGCTAATGAATTGGAAGAGAGTTCGGGTAAAGTAGAATCTGAAACACTTACTAGGTTGAGGCAAATATCAAAGTATTAAAAGATTTTGAGAGTGCTAGTGGTTATGTTTCGGTGGCGACTTGGGCTGCGAGTATCGAGTGAAAATGTGAGTTACGTTGATTCGCGAACCTGGGCTTGGCGGGTGGCACGTGTCTCCATTTATAGACTTATACAGAGCCATTATTTTGCTCCTGAGATTGACCATTTTCAGAGAAGGCGCTCGTTACCAATGATCTCGCGTTTGTTGCGCTTGGCGCCCTTTCTTGATAAAGACAGAGTGCTGAGGGTTGGTGGAAGGCTTCAAAATGCTGTATTGACTTTTGAAGAAAAGCATCCTGTTATATAGTAAGCTGATGAGCTGTTGGTTCGACGCTTAGTTGAGTATTCTCATTTGATTACCATGCACGGTGGGGTTGCGCTCATGCGAAGTTATCTAGGTCGTTTTTGTTGGATTGTCCATGGTAACAAGCTGATCACGAGTGTTTATAGAAAGTGTGTGATTTGTACGCGTTATGCCAGTAAGGTGGTTGAACAAAAAATGAGTATTTTGCCTTCCTTTTTATGGAATGGAACTCGAGCGTTTGCTTTTACAGGAGTTGATTTTTCTGGACCTTCTCCCATACTCTTTTCTAAGAGTCATGGGGCCAAAACGGTCAAGGAATACGTGGTGATCTTTGTATGCATGACTGTAAGAGCTGTACAGATCAAGGTAGTGTCGGATCTTTCTTCTGAGGCATTTCTTGCAGCGTTTCATTGGTTTACTGCTCGTAGAGGTGTTTGTATAAGGGTTTTCTCTCATAATGGTACCCCGTTTCGAGGCGCTTCACGAGAAATTGAAAGCCGTTTTAACAGAGCGTTCAAGGAAATGAATGATGTTGTGGCTCGACTGGCGGAACAAGGGATTGTATGGGAAGTCATTCCACCCAGAGCGCCTCATTTTGGCCGTCTGTGGGAAGCAGCCGTTCGATCCTTTAAGTACCATTTGCGTAGGGTAGTGAGTGAGAATTTGCTTACTTTCGAGGAATTTTCGACTTTGGCAGCACAGATTGAGGCCTCTCTGAACTCTCAGCCTTTGTGCCCTTTAAACTCGTATGGTGAGGAAAGTGTGGCATTGACCCCGGGTCATTTTTTGGTTGGATCCGCACCTCTGTCCGTTCTTGAGTCCTGCTCTGATCTGGGTGAACGATTGACCTTGTATCGGCGTTGGAACCTGCTTACTCAGATGCGCAATTCTTTTTGGGTTCGCTGGCGCAAGGAAGTCCTAAATCAATTTCAACAGAGAAGTAAATATCTTAAGAAACAGGAGAATTTGCAAGTAGGTGACGTAGTGATTTTGCGTAATGAGCAATCTCCTGCTGGTCATTTGGCCATTGGATCGAGTGATTGAGTGTTTCATTGGCTCTGATGGGTTGGTGAGAGTGGTAAGAGTCAAGACGGCGGTTTCAGAATTCAAGAGACCAGTCATTAAATGGATAAAGTTGCCGGTTGATCAGGAATTAGGGGTTGCGCTTGCTCTAATAAATGGGAGTAAGTTGCTAGAGCAAGGCAGGTGGTAGTCAGTTGTGTTGGTTAACTCTCCAGGCAATGCGTAAAAAAATGTATTTGCTAGGAAATCCTGAGTCGATTTGAATTAATTTTATTACGAATTATAAAGTGAAAATTTTAATTGTATAAAAAGTTGTTTTTAGATCTCTTGAAAATACACTCTTGAGTGTTTATTTTTTGTAGTAATAAATTTAATTGTTTTATTTGTTTTTATTATTTGGCTAAGATGTGGCGTGTGAGTTCATAAGATCGTGGGAGAGATTTTTTCAAATTTCAAGAATTTTTAAATCAAGTTGAGCGATGGTTATAAAGAAATTGGCTAAATTTTGATTGTGTTTTAAAATTAGTAGAAAACCAATTTGATTGTTGCTTGGCCGCAACAAGGCGGGCGGTATGTTCGTATGTACGAGAGAGAGAGAAAGAGAGCTGTAAGAGTAGAGACTAAATTTGTAATTTGAGTAGTAGGTATGCTCTTTCTGTGTGAGTCTGTGTGTTGTTTGGTATTAACTAGACAAGGATAGCTCGCGTGTGGGGGAAAATTTCTTGAGGTAGTCGATGGTGCGAGGCGTATTCGAGTTCACTTTTTGTTCTGTTCAGCCAGAGCAAGCGACTGGGAAGCCACGGAGTCGACTCTTCCTTAAACTTAGAGATTCGAGAGAGCGACAAGACCACAACTTATCAATTGCCGTGGACTTCATCAGCAACGAGCTGCCTTTGGAGGCACCGACAAATACATCGTTTTTTTTCGTCAAATCGAGGCCTTCGTCTCACGTCAACATCAGCGAGCGAGATTAGTGACACAGCGCAGGTATTTTGTAAATTTACTATAAGAAGAGATAATAGGTGTGTGTTTTGCGAGCGGCCAGGCAGCGATATTATTCGAGACCTTTCGAAAAGTAAAACAAAAACAAATAAAGTATTCTCGTTTCATAAGTTAAGCAAATTTTTCTTGCTGTTCATTTAGTTTTCCCTTCCTTTACTATCAACCATGGCAAAATTTGTGGCAGTTGCTCCGCGTATGATAGTCAATAATTTGATTGCCTTAAAGCGTCAACAGTGACTAAAGTATTTAAGTGATAGGTTTTGAAAACATAAATATGTACCATAAATTAAATCTCTACATTACAAATATAAATAACCAACTTCAAATGAGAGAGGAGTGAATACAGGTATTAACGGCATATGATAAAAGTTTAAAGTTATTTTCGATGTAAGCAGCTTACAAAGGAAAAAGAAAAATTTGGATTAGGGGAGCGTTAAACGGTTACTGTAAATTTCCAAGAATTATAGACGAAGGATTATTAAAGATTAAAGTTTTACAGGCAAGCTTCACATTGAAAGCAGGTGCAAAGCCTATGCTTTCAAAGCAATAACATTGCTGTTTGAATTCATTCTGTTGGTAGATACAGAAATAAATCTACTTTTGAAAGAAGCTATTTTTTAGATAATTGATACGTTCAAATTCGTGACTCCACTCGTACCGGTCAAAAAAGATAATAGAATTCATATTTACAGAGATTAAAGCGTGATGGTCAACCCTCAGTTGCAAGTTAATGAGAACCCCTTGCCATCGATCAATGAATTATTTGTGGAGATGGCAGGGTATTGTGTTTTTACGAAAATTTATTTTAAAATTGGCATACTTGCGGAATACAGAAGGCAAAAGCTTTCTTACACGATATTTGCGTAGTAGCAAGATCAAAGCAAGAACTGATACACAGACTCGAATCAGTATTTGAAAGCGGGTTTATAACTGAGTCTGAGGGCATTGTAAAGATGAAAGTAAAATATAAACCGTTGAAAATATACCAATACCCTCGAACACAAATTAAGTACGAGCTATCGTTGGAACGGTTAATTCTGATAATAAATTAATTAAGGATGTAAGTTCAATATTGGAACCTCTGTACTAGTTGTTGTAGGAAGGAAAAGTTTTTTAATGGACTGAAAGACATAAACAAGCCTTGAGAAGAGCGATTGAGGAATTCAAAAGCGGGAAATGTTTGGCTTTTTATGACCCATCGTTGCCTTTCGTTTTAGTTACGGATAAAATTCCTGATGGCGTCAGGACAGTACTAGCATATTGTTACGCAGATAGCTCTGAGCATGCAGTGCAGTTTGTATCATAAAGATTGAGTACAACAAAACTTAAATACAGTCAAGTATACAAAGAAGCGTACGGAATAATATTTTTAGTAAAGCCCTTACATTAGTATCTTTATGGAAGAAAATTCAATTTGGTAACGGATCATAAGCTACTAAGACAAATTTTTACAAAATCAAAAAGTTTACTCGTTTATAGCTCAAAGTGTATGCAGCATTATGCTATCTTACTTTGTAAATTTGATTTTGATATTAAATATAGATGCTCACAGCTAAAATAATAAAGCAGATCAAGATTGCTAGTTGTGGATAAATCGTATGACAAAATGGCCATAGATTTAATTGACGTTTTTTATGTTCAACAAACGTCTAACTTGTGTCTGGATGCATTAGTATGGTCTAGATGCATCAGAATTGTCATTTCGACGTAGTGAAAATAAAAGGGTTGGCTCGTGATTATTTGTGGTGGGCAATCATCGACCAAGCAATTGAGAGAGTGGCAAAAGCATGCACAGAGTGCCAATGAAATTGGAATAGTCCGAAAAAAGTAGAAAATCGTGTGTGAAATTTACAAACGGCAACGTTTCAGCGAGTACATATGGATTTTGGGGGACTATTTTCAAATGGATATTATTTTATATAAGTAGGTGCTTACTCCAAATGGCCTAGCGTGCGAGTGGTGAGAAGTATGTTGGCAGAGACCATCAATAAAGTACGTCACATAATTTTTGTACGTTTTGGTATTTCTAACTGAATGGTTTCTAAGAATGGTCATACGTTTGGGCCAGAATCGTTCAAATCACTTTTAAAAAGTAACGTAATTAGGCAAGAATTGACTGCATGATACCAGTTAGTGAGTAATGGGCTCATCGAAAGTAATTTGCTGACTTTTAAAAATGCATTTAAAAAATCGATTAAAAGGCGAAAGATACAGTTGGAATGATGCACCATTTTGTCATGTTATAGAAACATGCCACATGCAAGTACGGGTAAATCACCAGCGAAATTGAAATTCAGTAGAAATACACATCATGCATTAGATCTGTTAAACCAATAAAGCAAAAAAAAAAATATATATAAATGTGTAAAATGTAGTAGTAAATAATAATATTATAACCAAAGTTCCAAATTTGTAAATAATACTAATGTTCAATATAAAAGCACTAAAAATTCTGAATAACTACAATAAGTACACGGAGAGAGCTCTGATGCTATGGTAGTATGCGTATTTGTATACTACCGGAGTACAGTGCGTCACATACTACAGTAGCGCCCGTAGAACGCAACGGTAGTATCGAGAGTTTGCTACGGTAGTATAAAGACCTATATACAACTTTAGATCGTGAAACGCACTACTAAAGCTTCTGCTTTATACTACAATAGCACCTTTAAGGCGCTGCAGAAGTATCGAATCTGACTTACTAAGTTAGCTTGGGACTCATACAAAATATTAACTTTTTTAGACAAATATGTTAAAGTTGATTGAAAAGTCATTTGTTGTCTAGTATTATTTCTTTTACCATAAAAAAACTCTCATAAACTCCATACAAAAATGACAATTAAAGTAACTAAGATTTTTTGTTTGCATACTTTTACATCTAAAAAATTTCGTAAGATACAATAACATAAACCTTTCGATGGAATAGTGGCGATAGTTATCGGTATAAGAATATTTAACAGTTTTTAAAGTCGCCGTGCTGTGTTATTGTAACAAATTTACTAAATATCTTCATCCAAGATAAGAATCGTGCTTAATAGTTTACTCAAGGAAAAAAAATAGAATGATACGAATCTATTACTTTTAGTTTAGGTTAGTTTTACTAACAAAAAAATATTTTCTGTACGTTCCGTTGAATAGACTTTATCAGCATCGGCATTCTTTTAATGATCCTTAAGTTATAACAATAACTTTCAAACCTACTAATAACGGTATAGTAGCGTAGTACAGACGACTTATAATACGTTTACTAGTGAGCCATACCAATTTGGTATGAGTCCCGAGCTAACTTAGTACGTGAGATTCGATACTTCTGCAGCTGGATGTTCTGACCAAGCTAGGCGGTTTCAAGTTACGAAAATGGTCAAGCAACTCCAAAGAGATATTAGCCGAGATCCTTGAAATTTTTTCTTCATTTTTTTCAAAAATTTCATTCTTCCAATCCGCTTAAACCTCAAGATGACCATGAGATCACATCAGTTTCGGGTCTTAACTGGAATTCCAATCTCTATAGTTTCAGTTTTAAGTTCAACTTACCATCATCTCATCCAGTTTGGACTAATCGCAGTGTGCTTTCTCAGTTAGCCAAATTTTTTGACCCACTTGGTTGGATTTCTCCAGTAATTATTAAAGCTAAAATGTTACTACAAGAATTATGGTTGCTGAAGGTACCATGGGATGAGAAACTTCCTTCTAATCGTTTGAAGGAATGAAGTGAGTGGATCAATGAAGCCCAAATCTTGGATCAGATTAGAATTCCGCGTTGGAATTATTTCCAACCCGTTGACCCGATAATAGAAATCCACGGCTTTGCTGATGCTTCAAAACGAGCTTATGCTGCGATTCTCTATCTTCGTACACTTATAACAGACATGGTTTTTACTTCATTAGAAATATCTAAAACCAAGGTGGCACCACTAAAGATGCTCAGCATTCCTCGTCTCGAGCTGTGTGCTGCTCACTTACTTTCGAAGCTAGTGAATCATCATGTCTTAACTACAAAGGTTCAGGCTTCGGCTATT